GGAAGCGCGTCGGGAGGAGCACGGGGCGGCACGTTGGTGGTCGCAGGGGGGGCGGCGGGGTGGGAGGAGCACGGTGGAGACGGCGAGGTGGGGTACAGAGGAGAGGAGACGACTGCGACCTGACACGTGAGGCGCCTTTTTCTCCTTCTCTATCTGTATTTTTTACATGTTCAGCTTGCGATTGTTTTTTTTTTATTTGAAGGAGCTTGCGATTGTTGGACAGTGTTGTGCTTTAATTTATTCTACTCCATTGGGGGAATTGTTCTAATACCCTCCGTTTCTTTCAGTCTGTATATAACTTTTGTTCGAAGTCAAAGTATCTCTACTTTGACCAAACTTATAGAAAAAATATTGACATTTACAATACCAAATGAATATCTTTAAATTTATTATCTTTAAATTTATTATGGAATGTAGTTTTATGTTATGTATACTTGTTATAGTAGGTGTTGATATTTTTTAATACAAATTTGGTCAAATTTTGTAAAGTTTGACTCGACACAAATCTTATATGCGGAATAAAAAAGAACGGATGGAGTACTGTACTGCAATTTTTTTAGAAAAGGCCTAATGTCACACTCCTTACACAAAAAAATAGAAAAAAATACAAATTCATGGGGGTATCGAAGTCTTCTTCCTCGGCATCCACGGACGGCGTGTTGTGAGCATAGCTTGATGCCGCCTCTAGGCCTCCGCCTTGGCTGAGTAAACTTTTTGAAAACCAAGAGCTTGTAGAAGCAACGGCTGAGAAATCGTCGATGCAGACCAGGAGGTGTTGGCGGCTACGATATGCAAAGCAAACGCCACGCCGGAGACAAAAATATTGACCAGGCATGTAGAAACTCTGAAGACTACAAAAGCCATCTAAATCCATACGGATCCATGGAAATCTAAATTGAACATATCACAGAAGACCCGTCGGAGACACGGCTCCAGGGCCCTCTCCTTCAACGAAAGGCACACCAACGGAACCGGGATATAGTGAGGAGAACATTACTCCTACCCTGGGGCAACGCCACTGCTTTGTCGCCCCAAATCTAACACGAAGACTCCCTGCAGAAAACCTCAAAAAAATCACCCATCTTGATGTACAATGCGTCCGGATCTGATATAGAGCTTGCCACTATACAACACCGTGCATCGACAACCTCTTCTCTAACGATCCTTCCAGGCCGAAAACATCGATGAAGTTCTCCATGTTGGATCCCTCCGGCCGCCGCCATCTTCACCAATGACATTGTCGCGCACCAGACAAAGCAAATGAATGATGATCTTCATTGAGAAATTTCAGATAAAAAATCTCTTACACATTATTTTCATATTGGGCATATAAAGGGGACCATGCCTAGATGACTTCCATGCATGATTCTATCAACATAATAACCAAGTGTCAAATGCATCCCGCTCTCTTAACCCTATAACAAGAAGAGGACAAATACATAGGTAGATGCATTGTTGGAGTTGAGGGTTACATGTATGCTTTCCAAGATGTAAGGCTCCCTGTTTTTATGGTGAGAGGGCCCTCCCCTTGGTAGCTTATGTTAGATCCCATGTGGCACAATTGACAGAGACAAGGTGATTGTTTGCTCAGATTAATCAATCTCTTTATCTCTTTATCTCTTATATGTGTTGGTGGATATCTTGTTTTGTTAATTGTGCTATTTAGGCCAACATTGCTCATGCTTTGTTTAAAGGAAAAGGGCGAAAAGAAAGAAAGGCAAAACATTCACCTTGCATCATTGTTGGAAGGATCTTGAAAATGAGAAGTGGAAGAACTGAGAGGCATATGAAGCTCATAGAAAGAACTCTAAGAGCTTGGTTGGAAATGCAACAATGGTTGGTGGCAGCGGTGGTGATGATGATGCATCAAGTTGCGAAGAAGGAAAAAAGAAGCCCACTCCCAACTCGGTTGCTCCTACGAGAATGCCCAGTGGAAGAAATTATACGGGCGCGAAACTGTTGATTGTTGATGTTACTGATGTTGATCCAGTTAAGGAGTCAAACTATGAAAAGGTTGTGAAAAATAATGCCATGCATGAGGCTCGATTTCATGAGGGAAATGATGGTCGTATGCGCCAATTATGTGGACCGAGAATCAGTTCTGTAATGAACGGACCAAAGAACAATTATATGACACATTTATTGAATTCAAGTAAGATTGGCACATGGGTGCATGGTCCTGTACACATGACGACATATAGAGGTGTGCGATGAAGTTCAAGCAAAGAAGTGATAGAAGGAAAGTCAGGCACACATGAGATAGCAAGAAATCAAGGTAGATTTCAAAACAAAAGGAAAAGGAAATTGCATGGGCCAAATTACAAGAAAATACTGCAGATCAAGGAGGAGCCAACACTAGCTTAAGTAGAGCCCAATTTTCGTAGGCCTCCGTTTCAACTTATGATAGGCAGAATCCTAATAAATATTTGTTAGTAGTCCTATACTCTGGTTTGTTAGCTAATAACTAGCATGGTACGTGAGCCGCTTTCTTTTTTAAGTTAGGATCCTTTTATTAGTTACCATCAGCACATGACATAAGAGACTAGGAGTGCGCCATATAAAAAGGCAGAGGCTTCGGCCATGTATGGAACAGTTTTGAGTTTTATTTCGAGTATGAGATATACAGAAAAACGTCCGAATTACGGACGGCCATATCTTGTGTATTATCTATGATTTTCCCATTATGGAAATTTATTAGTGACGGAGGGTTGACCATCACATCAATGCCTACGTGCTGATCCGAGGGGGTCATTATTTTCGTTTGTGTATTTTCGTACACAGGTGAAAATTATCTTGAAGGTTGCAAGGAGGAACAAGGGGACGAACTGTTGATCAAGCATCGCCGTGAAAGATCGGGCCATCTACATGCGCGAATTAGCATCTCGCTTGTTCGTGCTTCATCAAGCGGTATTCAGAGCAAAGGTTAGTCACGGCGATTCAGTTTCCAATATCGTCTGCGGAGGCGAGCATCAACATGCTGAGAAAAACATATTGATGAAGGAGGAAGGCATCGGCGAGGTCGTTCTTTTTCACTCTCGTTGTGTTGTGAAAGAGAGGTGTATCAATTTCACGATCGATGAAGGTTCTGCGGTCAACATGATGAGCATCGAGGGGGTGAAAAAGTTGGGGCTGAATATGGCGCCTCTTGAAAGACCGTACACGCTGAAGTGGTTAAAAGGTGAAATCAAAATTACGCATCAGATTTTGCTAATTTTTTTTTGGGAAAATACTGTTGTGTGGAATTTTTTTATGTTTGTCGTGTGTCCATGGTGCCATGCCATCTGCTACTTGGGAATCCATGGTGCAAACGTGTTGGGGATGTTCGGAATTGCGAGAAAAATAGTTACTCGCTATCACGGAAGGGCTAACAAATCTGTTTTGTTCCCATGCCAACGGATGTGTTTAGGGCAGATTGGAAAAATCGTTTGCTAAAAAGAGAAGAACAACAGGAAGAAAGAAAGGAAGAAGTTGATGCACCGATAGAGGGGCTGAATCTTTTGGTGAAGAAGGTAAAAAATGGCGGCGGTGCAAAGGGACAGTGGTGGAGTGTTTTTAAGACACAATGCAAGATCAAGGACCGTGCATGCAAAATGATAGTTGATGGTGGCAGTTTTACCAATGCCATTAGCAAAGATCTTGTGCAAGAATTGGATTTGTCTATGTGGCGATACCCGCAACCGCACCATGTGGAGTGGCTATACAACTCCGGAAAAATTAAAGATCACACATAAGGTACGTGTGAAGTTTGTAGTTGGATATTATTTTGATAAGGTGGATTGTGATGTTGTGTCGATGGACGCGTGTCAGTTGCTATTGGGAAGACCATTGCAGTTTGATCATGATGCAGTTCATGCAGGAGGATCTAACACATACATGTTTATGCATCGCGGAAGGAAGCACGTGCTAAAACCAATGGCAGATAGTGCAATCACAACAGAGATGCAAATTCCAGAGAGGAAGGTTGTACAAAAATTAGACTCAAAACCGAGGACGGATTCATATAAAGGAAGGGAGGATGATACGACCATGAAACCATTGATTGTTGATGTTATTGATGATGATCCAGTTAAGGAGTCAAACCATGAAAAGGATGTAAAAAATAATGCCATGCATAAGGCTCGATTTCATGAGGGAAATGATGGTCATATGCGCCAATTATATGGACTGAGAATCAGTTATGTAATGAACAGACCAAAGAACAGTTATATGACACGTTTATTGAATTCAAGTAAGATTGGCACGTGGGTTCATGGTCCTGTACACCTGACGACATATAGAGGTGTGCGATCAAGTTCAAGCAAAGAAGTGATACAAGGAAAATCATGCACACATGAGATAGCAAGAAATCAAGATAGATTTCAAAACAAAAGGAAAAGGGAATTGCATGGGCCGGATTACAAGAAAATACTGCAGATCAAGGAGGAGCCAGCGCTAGCTTCAGTAGATCTCAATTTTCGCACGCCTCGATTTCAACTTATGATAGGCAGAATCCTAATGAATATTTGTTAGTAGTCCTACTTTGGTTTGTTAGCTAATAACTATCATGGTACGTGAGCCGTTTTATTTTTCTAGCTAGGATCCTTTTATTAGTTACCATTAGCACATGACATGAGAGAATAGGAGTGCGCCA